GTGGGCTAACGATTGCAAGCATTTAAAACCTGTTCCAAACATTGTAAGGCACTTTTAAATAAGCAAAAACGGACTTTGCAAAGCCATTGAAATGCACTGAGTCGGCTTCAATACATTCCAATGGAGGAAACATTGTTTCACTCAACGATGTTTCCTATGGGTTTTTTCACTTAAAGACGGCAATCCGTTCCAATTGGAATGGATTAACCGGTTTTCAATGCATTCCTATGGGAAATGGTGTTTCACAGAACGATGTTTCACACGTTGATTTTTTTTTGAACTAATTAACATCGTTGTGTGAGGCACCACTGTATGTCAAGATGGCTCATCCGTGCCTTTCTCTCTTTCTTTCAGTGGTTGTTGCAAAACTTGCCACTGAAAGAAACTCCACCTCTTTTTTCATTTGCATACTATCATCACGTGTGGCTTTTGGTGTGGCATGGGGCTGAATTATAGCATCATGATACCAAAGAGATCCACAGTCCCACAAATATTGCTTTACAGTGGGGTCTCGACTTACGAACGGCTCGACATACGAACGTTTCAACTTACGAACCGCTCTCATAGGAATATATGGACTCGACTTACGAACTTAGATTCGAGTTACAAACTTTTCCCCCCTTTTTTAAAAGCTGAGTCATATTAGGTTAGAAGGAAAAAAGAAAAAATATCCCCCTCTAGTGGCAGAAGGCGGAATAGCAGCTTCCCATTAGTTTCTATGGACGAAAAGAGCAGATACGGATTAAATGGTTTTCAATGCATTCCTATGGGAAATGCAGATTCGACTTAAGAACTTTTCGACCTGAGAACTGCCTTCCAATACGGATTAAGTTCGTAAGTCGAGACCCCACTGTACATGGAAAGTCTAGGAAAAAACAGGAATGGGAACACTTTATCTATTAGTTTTTATTAGTTACATTTATATCCCAAGTTTCCTCCAATGAGCACCAAGTATCTTTTGTGGCTCTCCTTCTCTCCACTTTACCCTATAATGTAGGGCAGGTTGAGAGAGAATGATTAGAGCCAATGATTTTCATGGCTCAGTGGAGACATGAACTCTGCCTCTCTCAACGCCTAATTCAACACACAAACCACTACCTAATTCAATACTGTGGTAGCATCTAATCATTAGGGCAAGAAGACTGCTGTTTCCTCCTCTGTGCAGGCATCCAAAGGTTTTAAAAGAAATGAGGGGCAGCAAAGGGAAGAGGGAATTTCTCCTCCCCAAGTTCTGCTGATTTATATATTTCCTCCTACTGGGGTCTAGTCATAATCTTTAACTTCATCTTCAAGGCTTCCAGCTTCCCCCAGCTACTTGATGATCTATATTTTTCCTTTGTTTTATTGAGAAAGTTTCAAGAGTGCAGTGAGAGTGTGCAGATCAGAATAAGTTGCTTTCCACTGTAACAAAATAATGCAATAACGTCCTTCCTTGACTCAAATGGACTGTCACTGGTTGAGATATATGGAAAAAAGATGTATGTGAGTAAATTAAAGTCTGTGGACTTTATTTTATATTTTGACGTTTAAATGTCACTACTTTTTGGAGCAAAGACTAAATACAACAGAATATTTGCCGCCAGACAAAGATCTAGCGCGGCTCACGAATTCTAACACTGAAGCATGGAGCTGATTCTTGAAAAAGAAAGGGGTGGGGGAGAGAGTGTGAGGCAATTAAGCTTTTACAAAACATTAAACTGCCCATCAAGGGAGGAAGGCTACAACACTCTTAAATGTCAGAGTTGCATGCTCATAAATAAAATGAGCAATTTCCCTTCCTCCTTTACTGCCATGTGAATCATTTATTAGGGCAGTCTAACAACAACAACAACAACAAAGCCTTGTCCTTTGAAAGTACTCTTTGGACTGCCATCACACTTGCATCTGTAATTGGGGATTACAAGGACTGTTAACTAACATGATGAATAAACTGCCTGGCTTTTAAGTACCTGCCCCCTTCCTTTTCGTGGGCAGGAGGGGCGGGAAAATGCAGGCAGACACTGGCCGCAAAAACAGATTACTTTCAGAAAAAATACAGCAACCCAACCTAAGGGCACAAGCCTTCCCAGTCTAAAAACAGCTATCATTGGTCTAATTTACATTAGTATTTACTTTATTATTAGATTTAAAAAAAAAAATTAAATACTTAATAACTTTTTCCTCAGTCAGAAATTTTACCTTACCACTAAAAGCAAGCAATTGAGTGGAAATAGTCACTTTAACTCTAAATGAAAGTGAGGGGGGAAAACGGAAGGGAGAGAGACTGGCAGTAGATTTCACCTCAGTGGGAGAAGCTTAATTTTTGTTCTTAGGTTCTACCTCAAAATTTTGTTCCAACAGTTATTTCAAGGAGCTCTCAAGAACCAAAACAAACAAACAAACAAATTGCCCAGACAACTTCCCCTACCAGATCTGTTCTGGAGAGATCCAACGCTATAAACTCAGAAGCAAAAGTTAGCAGTGGGGGAGGGGCAGCAGGTCGAGCTAGCGAACCACCTCACAGAACTGGGTTGGAGGTCCAGGCCCAGAGCCTTTTTCCACTTTTTTCTCATGTAGTCCCTCAGGAAAGCCAGTCATTGATCAGGGCTCTGCACTGAGACGCAAATAAGTGCTGCTCACATCCGACATCATGCAGTAGATTCATCCGCCTGACACCATGCAGCAAACTCCAGACCTTCTCTAGTGCATAATTTTATCTTTTATAATTATATAGAAGATAATAATTATACAATAATTTATATATTCATTGTACATGATGACTGTATCTGAAACTCGACCGATTGCAATGCTAAGCCACTTATGACATTAAGCTATTGCTTGATGCTACGTGAATGGACTATTAAGTGACTGCACTCCAAATCTTCCCTCCGTGGTTTACATCTAAAAAATTGGCCATTTTATGCAAACAGCAAACTATGATTCATGCTTCCCTTTGGGTTTATCTCTGTTTCCAATCCTGCTCTGTAAGGCAAGTGCAAACCACAGTTTGCCAGACAAAATAATCGGTGGATTATGTTCTGCTTGCAGCCCAGGAATGGGGAGAGACAGGGGAAGAGGGAATGTGCAACCCTTTCGCGGCATCTTTCCCTAGCATGCTTTGGTTCTGTCTGAAGTAACAAAACCCTCGGGGTGAGAAAAAAATGTCTATAATGGTTGTACTTCCAAAGCATCTAATGTTTTCTTCTCTTCAGTTTTCATAAACAGACCTGAACCCGCGGCAAGCAGTGACTAAGATAATGGGCAAAACTGAGACTTATCCCTGCTCCTAAACACAACAGTAAATATTAACATGAATCCCCATTGTTTTGTATCGTTCTGTGATAGTGATTGTTTACTTGCACTGTATCAAAAAAAAGAAGGAAAGAACACACAACATGCACAAGCTTCTGTAAGGTTGGTTACTCTGCTATTTTTCTTTACAGCTAAATAATGGGGGGGAGGGGGAGGAGTGGTTTGGATTCACTTGAGCTCCGGATTCGTGTGCATTTTAAAAGCAAAACTAAGCTGCCACAACAACCTACTTCAAGGGCAAGGAACACATTTTGTCCAAGCTGATAAGATCTTTGGGGAGCTGATGCGCAAAGGTGGCCCTGGACGTGGGAAAGCTAAGTTTGCTCTCAGGCACGTGTGGCCTTGAAGAAGCCACAATGTTGCACATTCACCTCTTCCACAGAGATGCAGCCATGATTAAGTTATATTCTAGAGCAGTGGCAGTGAATCTTTTTGGGCCTGAGTACCCAAACTGGAGAAAAAACAAAACAGCAGGCGGCGTGCCATGGTAGCAGTGGAACCGGAAATGGCGGCGGAAAAAGGAATCCCAGACACAGAGGTGCCTCGAGACCTCACTCCAGATCCGCTGCCGCTGCCAGCGCCAGCTGCTCCAGATCCTGGTCTGTCACCTGTCAAAATGCCAGCACCGTGCCTGCAGCTGCCTCCCAAGGTTTGGCTGCGGGGGGGGGGAGCAATCCGGTGATTTATGGTTCACGTGCCTGCAGAAATGGCTCGTTCGTCATTGCTGCTCTAGGGGAAGAGGTTGGGATATAAATATAATTAATGTATAAATAAACAAAACTTGGCATGAGAGTGCTCTTACACACCTCCGTTTGTAAAGATGGGGAGCCTCTGCACAGACACTGGTTGCCTATTTTGGACAGCATCATCCGCCCAACAGCACCTGATTTTTATTTCACAGCCACAGAAGGAAAAAAGCCACTGGACACAGGCACTGGTATAATAATAAACACTGTACTTCTTTCTCTCTCAGCATTTTCGTCTCACTCACTAAATCCAACCTTGCTAACAATTATACAGCAAGCCGTGGTGCCAGGTCCTGCTTAATAGTGGGGAAGATGCCAAAGCAAACTGAGTGGAGGAGTCAACATTCCTTTGCAAATGGATGTACTCAGTGTCAGGAGAAATAAGCTTTCCAAATCACCATTTGCACTAAATCAGAGCTGGCACTGGGAGCGAAAATACTGTTTGCATTTCAAGTTACACTTTCTAAACAAGGCTTGAGGGCAAGGCTTCTGTTTACCTTATATATACATTTGTGGAGGTCACCAAGAACACCTTTATCTTCCTCCTCTTCCTTCACGATCTCTTTTTCCTGAGAGAAGAGTCGCCGCCTGCCCGTTTTCTGTGGGACTTCGACTTCTTTCGCCTTGTTCCGGAAGCCATTTTTATGAACCACACCGTTAATGAGTCCATTTTTGGGCTCATACCGGGGCAGAGACTGAAATTCATAGTTGTTATCTGAATGGACCTCCAGAGGGCCTTTCCGCTTTTCTAGGAGCTCCTTTTCAAAGAGGACTTCCTTTTCCAGTCTCTTGTGCTCCTCAGTCGAGAGGGAGTCATAGGAGAGCAAGTACTGGCAGTATGCCTCCTGCAGCTTTGCTAACCTGTCCTGTGCAGTTTTGGGGATACGCAACATGTCTGCCAGCTTGTTCCATTTCTTGAGATCAGTCACTTGCTGCATGCCCCCCATTTCGTTGATCAACTGGAAAAAGCAGGCCAAATCTAGTTCGCAGCCTCCTGGATGTCAAAGAAGGGGATGGAACAGCAAATGGGGGTGGGGAAGAAACACAGAAAATCATTAGGAAAATGGATTGCAAACCACATTCATACAAGCGTATTCATGGAGGTAGAAATTTTGAGACTTAAAGCAGGAACAAATATCCACCAGAAGGAAGGGAGATGTCCTTGTGATAAACTAAATGTCAGGGAACAGATACCTCCCTTGCCTAGCCTTCTCCCAACAGTGTTTATTGTGCAATTGGAAGTAGTGGAGCCTGTCTTCACTAATTAAGAGGACTGAATGCTAATCGGTTGGCTCTTTTTATATCATCTCTCTAAACAAGGCAAGATGAAGAAAATAAAGTCAACGTTTTTCTTATTTCTTATTGGCCACTACTCCTGTTTGGTGATTTGCAATCCTTTACCTTCCTGGTTCAATTTGCAACTGTTTAAGCACCTATCCAGAAGGAAAAATGAAGCTGCCCCACTAAATTAATGTTCTCCATAACACCCTCACCTGCTTTCTCGGGGAAATTCCCCAGGCAAGGCGGTTTATGTGAACCCTTCCTGTTCTAGCCTGAAAGCTGAAAGTCGTCGTTCTTTCAGCACATGCCATTGTGAATGTGTGAAGCCTAACAGTGCTCTTGCAACACAATGCAGATCTGTTTTAACCTAATTTTGTTACCATGATTAAACATTATTTCACATGAGACCAAGAGGGCACATGATGCCACCCAATCCTTATATAAATGCAGAATAGCTCCTTGGTTAGATATAGGCTATTTCTCTTTCTAGAGAATTACTCAGGAACATTCAGTAGCTGCTGCATTTATTAATCATCTGTGTAACATAAATATAAACCTGGCGTCTGTCCACAGAAGTTCATGTTTACATAGAAGGAAATTTGCACTTGGGCTCATTATTAAATGTCAGGCTATATCTACAGAGGTGACCAAATTGCTTAGTTACAAATAATGAGTAAGTACTACCTTGACTTTGGCCAGTTACTCAAGGGTGGAAAAACAGTATGATTACCCAGGATCAAATTAGCTGGTCCATGTTGTATCAAAGGAGTGAGTGTTTCCAGAACAACACCTGGACAAAACCATAGGACCTCTATGCTTAATGAGATCTGGTAGTTTTCTTGAGCAATCTTATGATGTCTGACTCTTAAGGAAAAAGAAGCCACCGCTACCTATTCTATATTACTGTAAAACATTAAAAAATCAGCAAAATGGTATGCTTACTTCCCAGGTGAAAGAGCCAAGGAGCAGAACAAATGTTCACTATATAAATTATAATATCTTCTAGCAAGAGGTAGTAAAATTGAGAAATGTCTACCAGCCACAAATAATTTTTTTTAAAATCTTGTTTAAAACATCCTAAGACAGAATTTGTGATAATAATCTACTTAACCAATTCGTATTTAAATTAAGACATGTATAAACCAGTCAAACAGAAGCAGAAGTTTAAAAATCCTGTAAACATTTCTGAATTTGATTGTGAGTTCAAAAATAGAATCAGTAAAATAACATTTTTACTAAGACTAAGCAACACTAAGAGTGGAATATGCAAGCTTCTAAGTTACTCAGAACCCTTCTTGAGGCAGAATGTTCAAGAAAAATAATGAGAGAAGAAATGGCATTTTGACTCAGAATAGTGTTACGCCCTTGTCTGAAGGATATTCATCCCTTAAATTTATGATGGAGGATGTTCACGCATCCTTTGCCATTTGCCAAGGTTTTAAGTTAAGGTAAAAAATGCTAAGGAAGCATTTTAAGACATTGTACTGGATCTGTGAAACTTCTTAATTTAGTCTTTTAGGATCTGAGGATGGTGATAAGAGAAGAAGAGGGACCTTAAAAAACCATCAACATATCATTATAATGGGAAAGTGCAAATGTTTAATCTAGAAAAACTAGTAAAAGATACAAACTTTAAAATTATTGCCAAAAAAAGGGAGAGTGCAATGACCAGATTATCATAAAAGACAACACACTAAATAGCTTAATGCAAAATTGTTTTTATTCTTTCCTCCCTGCTTGTCAAGTTAGCCTATTTACGGGGCTCAAAATGGGCAGTGCAGCCCACCCAGCTTCTCAAATGTCAAGCAGTTTCTAAGGCTCATCGCAAGCTCTCAGAAGGGAAGGGGCCATATTTCAATCCAACCGGAAATGACTTGCCAAGAGGGCCAGACACAGCAATGTACAGCACCCATATGTCAGTAACCAGCAATGGATATAGAAACTATTAATAACTAAGAGTAAATAGTCTACCCCAAATCGCATATCCTCATCTCCAGAAGTGTGTCCTCCAAACGACAGCAAGACAGTTGTCCAACATTTGGGGTAGTACAAAGTGTATTATCAGGTATCCCCACTCCCATTTTTATATTTGGCCATGATGCCTGGTTGTGCCAGGGCATATGGGGGAACTACATGACTCTTTTTCAGAAGATGTTTACAATTGTGCCTGCTAATATCAAATGAGAATTAATGTTGATATCACAAACAAAAATTGCAAAGTGGGCTTCTCAAACACTGGAGTACAGTATTGTTCTTCCGGGATTACCACGCTGGACACTACTCACCCAATTAAATATCTGAGTCAAGTAACCATTATTTTTTAACCATCTCCAACAGCTGGCAATAAGAAAATATATTTTTCAACAGCCTAGACCCTGCAAATTCTACTAAGTTGTTCCTTACGATAGTCTTATTGTTCTGTTCAACAAATAAATAAATAAATAAATATAAATAAATAAATATTTTCCAATTAGTATAACATCCAACCTTCTTTTTATTGGACCATCTTAACACTTGAGCTTACTAATTCTAATGAAAAACAGATTGCACTTTTACAAGAATCTGACAAATGCAACAGGTCAAAGGTAGTCTACATTACTGCCTGATCATTATTGCTTATTAGTGAGGAACACCTTTTTGCCCCAAGGCCAGGAACAGCAACCAAAAATTGCACTAGAAGAAAATCAAATATTTGTTCTATCTAACCTTTGGGCATTCACAAAAAAGTAGCAAGAGTACATGCTTCATAAATATTAAAGCTTTGTTACTGCCTAATTAGTTCAAGTTCTTAATTCTAGAAGCTTTACATGGTTAAAAACTATTTGCTAGGAAGAAACCACTGATTTTTGCCATATGTGCAAAAATTGGTGCTGAAGGGAGTACACACCAAATCATATGGAAAATTACATTATGGCCTCTAAGCCCCAGTTTATGTGTAGGCAGGCATCCTTCAGTCTCGAGAGGTTATGGTAATGTGCTCTGTATGGAGGACTTGGAAGAGCGTCTAGTGCGCTGAGAAGGCCAATTCGAGAGTGACAATCCCTTCCACACTGAAGACAAATAGAGTCTGTCCCCTGTCCAGCTCCCTGATTTTGCTGCTTTTAGGACTCCCTCTTTGCCTTGGCTTGCTGAACAAGTGTCTCTTCAAATTGGGAGAGGCCATGATGCACCGCCTGCCTCCAGGCTAAACATTGAGATGTCAAGGTTTCCCATCTGTTCAGGTCCATTCCTAAGGCCTTCAGAACCTGCTTGTAGATATCCTTGTATTGCAGCTGGGGTCTCCCTCTGGGGTGATTTCCCTGCACTAATTCTCCATACAGGAGATCGTTTGTAATCCGACCATCAGCCATTCTCACAACATGCCCAAGCCAACGTAGATGTCACTGTTTCAGTAATGTATACATGCTGAAAATTCCAGCTCACTCTAGGACTACTCTATTTGGAACTTTGTCCTGCCAGGCGATACCAAAAATCCATTGGAGACAACGCATATGGAAGGTGTTCAACTTCCTCTCCTGCCGTGCACAAAGGGTCCAGGACTCACTGCAGTACAGGAGTGTGCTCAGGACACAGGCTCTATAGACCTGGATCTTGGTATATGCCGTCAGCTTCTTATTAAGTTATACTCTCTTTGTGAGTCTAGAGAATATGGTAGCTGCTTTGTCAATGCGTTTATCCAACTTGACCTCTAGTGAGAGAGTGTCAAAGATTGTTGAGCTAAGGTACACAAAGTCATGAACAACCTCCAATTCTTGCGTGGAGATGGTAATAGGGGGAGGAGAGTCCACGCCCTGGCCCACGACTTGTGTTTTCTTCAGGCTGATTGTTAGTCCAAAGTCTTGGCAGGCCTTGCTAAAATGATTTGTGTGTTGTTGGAGGTCTTTAGCATAGTGGGCAACAATGACTGCATCATCGGCGAACAGGAAGTCCCACATGCATTTCAGTTGGACTTTGGTCTTTGCTCTCAATATAGAGAGAGTAAAGAGCTTTCCATCTGATCTAGTCCAGAGATAGACACCTTCTGTTGCAGTTCCAAAGAACTGCTTCAGCGTGACAGCAAAAAAGATCCCAAACAGGGTCGGCGCAAGGACATAGCCCTGTTTCACTCTGCTTCGGGTGTCAAAGGGATCTGTTGAGCCATCAAAAATGACAGTGCCCTTCATTTCCTCATAAAAGTACCTGATGATGTTAAGGAGCTGAGGTGGACATCCAATTTTGGGAAGTATTTTAAAAAGTCACCCCTGCTGACCAAATCAAAGGCCTTTGTGAGATCTATGAAGGCCACAAAGAGGGGCTGTCGTTGTTCCCTACATTTCTCCTGCAACTGTCTGAGCGAAAATACCATGTCAGTGAGTTAGTACTACTAAACCACTGACATGGTATTCCAGCCCCAATTTAGTACTACTAATATAAATGTCCAATACAACTTCTGTGCATCTTAGATAAACAACCAATTTACAAATTATGAAGGACGTGCTTTTAGACAAATTATAAATTGCATAACAAGGTAAAAAAAAAAACACTCCAAGGAATTACATGCTCAAAGTGCTGATTTGCAATCTTGCCCAACCCTTATTCTGCATACAGTGAGATATTAGAATCTTATGTAAAAATCTCGATGCAATTAAAGCCCTGTTCAGGAATTCAAATTCCTGAATCCATTTCAGTTGGGCTTCAGGCTGCACCACAGCATGGAAATGGCATTGATCGCCCTGCTGGATGACCTACTTAGGCAGGCTGACAGGGGCAAAATGTCCTTGCTCGTCCTCCTTGATATCTCAGCCACCTTTGATACTGTCAACCATGGCATCCTCCTGGGGAGGCTCTCCAAGTTGGAGATTGGTGGCCTAGCTCTTGCTTGGCTCCAATCCTTCTTGGAGAACCGTCCTTAGAGAGTCCAGCTTGGGGGGAATGTTTCGGCCCCGTGGTCCCTCAATTGTGAGGTTCCGCACGGTTCAATCATCTCCCCAATGCTGTTTAATATCTATATGAGGCTGCTGGGGTGGGTCATCCGGGGATGTGGAGCTTCGTGTCATCAATATGCTGATGACACCCAGCTCTACATCTCCTTTTTTCCATCCGCAGTGGATGCTGTTCCATCCCTTGGGCGCTGCCTGGAGGTGGTCCTACAATGGATGCAGTCAAATGGACTAAGACAAAACAGAGGCCTTGTGGGTGGGCAGCCCCGATGTCAGTGGCTTAGGGAACTCCCTCTCTTTTTTGGGGGTGACTCTCACCACAAAAAATTGGTCCATCTTGACCCGGCACTTACCATGGACACCCAAGTAGTGTCCGTGGTTCAGTCCGCCCACTTACATCTTCGGTGCTACAATGGATGCAGTCAAATGGACTAAGACAAAACAGAGGCCTTGTGGGTGGGCAGCCCCGATGTCAGTGGCTTAGGGAACTCCCTCTCTTTTTTGGGGGTGACTCTCACCACAAAAAATTGGTCCATCTTGACCCGGCACTTACCATGGACACCCAAGTAGTGTCCGTGGTTCAGTCCGCCCACTTACATCTTCGGTGGATCGCTCAGCTACGTCCCTATCTAGACACGGGGGTGCTCACCACACTGGTCCATGGGCTCGCAGGCTCAAGAATAGACTACTGTAATGCTCTCTATGTGGGGCTTCCTTTGAGACTGATGCGGAAGCTTCAGATGGTACAGAACACAGTGGCCAGGTTATTAACGGGGAGAAAACATTTCATCATATTTTCTCCACCCTAGCCACCTTATACTTGTTACCTATCCACTTCTACATCGATTTCAAAGTGTTAACTATTACATATAAAGCCTTCCAGTGGTGTCCAACCTTGGCCCTCCAGATGTTCTTGGACTCCAAGAAGCCTTCACCACCACCTCTGCTGGCCAGGATTTCTGGGAGTTGAAGTCCAAGAACATCTGGGGGGCCAAGGTTGGACAGCACTGCTGGTTTAAGCCCTTGATATCTGTCAGAGCACTTCTTTTGCCTAGTTCGACCTGTATCACCTGTTCCACTCGGGCCGGGCGGCTGAGAGGCCTAACGCCAATAGAGGTCATAAAGGAAAAAACTAAAAATTGGGCCTTCTTGGCAGTGGTCCCTCGTCTCTGGAGTAACTTACCTGCAGAGATCCGCCTGGCCCCCTTGCTGAGGCCCTTCAAGACCAACCTGAAGACATGGATATACAGGCAGGCCTTCCCTTGAGCCATCACCTAGCATATTTCTTTCCTTTTTCCTCTTCTTCTTTTTCCATTTTGGACTCTGTGATTAATTTGGATTTACCTTTAGTTTATTTTTTACATTTTATGTAAACTGCCTAGAATAGACACATTCTAGATGGGCTGTATATAGGTTTAATAAATAAATAAAATAAATCCTGCTTTCGAAAAACAGGCAAGGAAGGTGGCTGTTCAGGACCACACTATCACCACTCCAGCTCTGTCGTTCCACTATTCTTGTTGTGCTGAGGTGTAGAAGCTGATTTTTTTGTGGAAGCTTACAGCCTGTAGCATCCCTCTGTGCAGGATCCTTGGGACATCAGGCCTGTACACTCTCCCTACTGTTATCTTCAGCACTGCTATGAGGAGACTGGAAGCTATTACTTGAAATTTTCTGTGTTTTTTCTAACCTTAACCATGAGTAGGTGAAACACTCCAGTTCCAGAAACTGCAATTTAAAGTTGGCTTAATTCAACAAAGCATAGTTCAGGTTAACCACAAGCTATTTCATTTAAAATTAAAAGGACTCTGTATTTCAAGACTGGAAAGATGAACATCAACTGTGTATCACTTTAATGGTCTAAAGACCTCCCTACCTTATCTACATTTAGAACGTGTATTTTATGATTTTTATGTTTGGCTGGACACTTTCAAGGACATTTTTTTTAAAGGCCAGCGAGGCAAAATTCACACCAGTGCAAAACATAGCAATGCTGCTCACTGTGGCTGTCACTTGCTATTTAACAAATCAGTTTTTCTGTGACTAAATTAAAATGTATCGGATATGACCCAAGTATCAATATTGGTATACGTTGTTTAAAATTGTGTAGGATAATAACTGCCACAATCCTGCACATCACCAGGCTGTGTCAATCACTCTGAAACGGAAAGCTGCAAATTACAATTTATCATCACTGACACAATTTAATTTAAAAAATGAAACAAAACACTACTACTTATTTCTAGAAGAAAAAGCCATATTTAATATTTTGTTTCATTTCCAGTGCCAAAATGTGCTTTAAAATAAAATACGTGTGTCTGTAACTCTTGGCAATATTTATTAAAATTTGACCTTACCAGTTAAAACTCACAGCTCCATCTGATAAAAGCTTGCTACTTTTAAGAGCAGCTCAAGGAAATTTATTATATTTTAAATTCCTTTAACATGAGAGAGAGAGAGAGAGAGAGATACCGTCTGCTTCCAAAGTAAAAGAGGGCTTTTAATGAAATTATTGTTTTACCAAATATGATGTGGCTTTTTAAAAGATACTGTCACTTGTGTCATATCTGATGGTTGGTAGATCAGAAAACCAACCAATTTGCTTAAAAAGCAAAGAAGCACAGCAAATTAAACCTCCATTTCAGAACAATGTACGTGTTACTGCTCACTATTCTAAAAGTGACAGATGTCTGTAGATCGTTGAACATTTGTGATTTCAGCCATTCGTCTATGAAACCAATTCGAGATGACTGGTGGAACAGAAGGAACATTTAAAGAAAACAGAATGTGAGGGAAGAGATACAACAACAAAGCAGTTCACTGTTTGAAGAATTCTGTGCTATTGGAAAACCCCTAAAAAGCCTAGTCCAATGAAGATCAAATGTATGTTCAATAAATATATGGCTGATCATCTCTTTAATTTTAACTTTGAAACCTGAGTACACATGCCTCTTTGGCCTAGGAGACTTCGGGGGAAACTGCTCTACATGAACAGTGAAGGATCAATGTACCTACAGAAACATCCCTGAACCCACCTGCATTGCACATGGCAGAGGAGGCAATGCCCTGTCATTTTCATAGGGTATCAAGTCAACCTCAATCCAAGCAAGTATTCAAAATACCCATCTGCTACACACTGCAAAAGAGGTTATGAAAGCCAAAAGCACTCACCTATGAGTGGAAGCTCATCCATAGTAATGCCCTGAGATTTGAGGTGCTTCTTGATACAGGCCAGCCGCTGCACATTGGGCCCCCAGCGCCTGCCCAGCTTATGAATGTGCTGAATCTGGGTCACAAACCGCATTTCTTCATTCAGCTTGCACTCAGGTCTCCAGTCGGGAGGAGGAATCACCCTGCACATCCCATACTTCTCAACCTGAGTACGGATCGATTCAATGTATATCAACGGGTCATGGAACTCCTTTGGGGAAGGTCTGAGGATAGGAATCTCCTCCATCGTGGGCCCCCCAGGCTTGATGCTACCCTTGTCGTGCTTCCCCGTTGAGTCATGTGGCTTGTGCAAGGACTCAGTTTGAGAGGTAGAATAATTATTTTCACAGGAGGCATTTTCAGTTTTGCTATGTGCTTGTTTCCCTGGCGTGTTCTTCCCAGCAGCAGCTCTCTTCGGCCTGTTTCTTTCCAGACTTTTCTGTGGCACTTCCTGACTCCCAGGCTTTTTCACATGGCCATTCAGCAAAGGTTTCTCCATGGGGGGTGCCTTTCTACTCGGGGCTTCAGCCATGCTGGCTGCTGCCCCTTTTATCTTCTTGCTTGGCGACTGGGTTTTGTCTATGTGGTTTGCCTCTTCCAGCCTCCTTTTTGAATTGCGCAGCCCCTCCCTCAACTGCCTCCCAACCTCCTTAGTGCATGTCTTTTGGTTCCACTTGCCATTGACTTTGACGCCATTAACAGCGGTATTGTTGGACTTAGCCGTTCCAAGGGATAGCACCTGTTTGCGGGTTTTTGCATTGCTACTTTCCATTTTCCCTGAGATTGTATGGTTGACAGCTGAACTGGGTTTGTGGTGATTTAGTTTGGTTTCCTTGACCAGTTCTTTCTTGGCTTTGGTGTATGTGACAGTTCCCTTTGTCACTGTTGCAGTGTACTTCACAGTTTTGGACGGTGAAGGTCTGACTTCTCTCATCTTTTTGGCACTGGCTGTGTTTGCACTCAGAGATGACAATCGAGTGATACCATTGACCTTTGAAACCTGCAGAGGCCAGAAGTGCCCCAAAGCAGGAGGAAGAAGAAGAAAAACAGAAATGTCAATTAATTAAAAATTCACCTGAAGCTTTGCAGGCCACAGTCCTCTAAAATTACTTCAAGAGAGAGAGAAAAAAACCAAACCCAGAACTTGTAGCCCATCATCCATGTCAAGTCATAATATATCTGTATTAGGTTACGGTATATAGCTCTATATGCTGTCTCAAAGTCCAAGCTTTCACTCCGGGATGAGAATAAGCCATTTTTTAAAATGAAGAAAGCACAAAATGCCTTCTTGAAAGCTTATATATGTACCCATTAGTCATCTGACATGATCTAGCCTGAACAAGGCCGTGCATCTATTCCACTTCTCTATAATGGGTTATGCAGGGTTGGGGGAGTCTCCCATTGTTGCTGGGCCTGAGAGCAATCTTGCTGCTGTTGGACTACTTCAAAATGGCCTTCCCCCCCCCAAAAAAAAACAAATACCAAGCCACGCTTGGCCAATCCTAATATAACAGTGATGCAAAAAGATAAGGGCATTGGGAGGTAGCAGCAAGATATATAACAACTGGAAGGATCCAGATTCCAAAAATCTGTTTGGAAATAATTTCCCTATTCCAGACCAGAACTGGTCTTGTTGTCTTAGATATTTCCCCAATATGCACCCAAGAGATTATCCTGGCTCTGAAGGATCCAGTTTCTAGAATAATCTCATTGTTGGGAGGCAGGAACTATCTAATAAATATTTGCTTAATAGTTATGGTATGTGCAGGTGTTATTAATACTATTCTCATTAAGTTTGATATCTAGGCAGTTTTCCTTTATTCAATAAGCATGAGCCATGAAAAAAAAAATCAGTGGCAGTTAATGACTGTTGAAAGTGACTGAACAGGGCTTAATACATGGCTAACAAGAGTTACTGTTTACAACAAGAATGATTTTTTGCTGAGTTTTTCTCAATATTGCTTAACTACACGATCTCTTCAGTGCTTGACCAATATAAGCAAAAGCCATCTAGTTTTGTGAAAGGCAAGGCAAGAATACTTATTTCAGGGAGAACAAGGGTATCTTATTCACTTTGCATTATGCAGGTTAAAAATGGCAAATAGGAAATAGTGTCTGTGACATTTATGCTTTATGTTGTATGGTAGAGGACTAAGACTACAGCACAAGGCAGAGATGCCTATTATCTTTTCCTACTTAATTCCCTCCTAAACAATCATCTCTACAGATGTGTGCATGTGCACCCGGGTCTAGGTCTCTCTCTCTCTCTCTGGGTACGTATGTGTATTTATGCAAGTCAACCTAGTCTCTCTCTGTGTGTGTGTATGTATGTGTATTTATGCAAGTCAACCTAATATTTAATTCCCAACCTATCTTGAAGACAAGCATGTGCTAGCAGTTTGCTATTCCAATACTATGCTGTTTAACAGCACAACCGCTGTTAAAGGGAAACAAACAGGCACTCCAAAAAGGAGCACAGCACAATACCAGTCAATACAACGTATTTTCCCCAGTTATGATTATTTGGTCATCAGAGTATGTAGCTGAATGTGAAGCATGCGAAAAATATACTTCTGGATCCTTTTGCGGAGAAAGGTGAGGTAAATATTTTAAATAAATAAATAAGAATAATAATTAGCATTTGAGGACATGTTGATGCCTTTTTGTGAATCTGTCAGAGCCATGAAAAGCACTCCTATACCTTTAACTCTGACACCCCAAGTCCCTAGGGTCTAATGGCTCCAGTGGTGGTAAGGTGGGCCGCAGATACAGCTTCACTCACCTTCTTGCACTATGAAGCTACATCTTTCGAATTTAACCCTACCCCATGTGATGGAGGAGTAATCTGCAACATTAAGGACAGGTTACTTACCTGTAAACATGGTTCTTCAAGTGGATTCTCCATGAATACACACGTCCCGCCCGGCCTCCCCACATGTCCGTCATTGGAATCGAGTCCCAACTCTTCTTTGTGGCGGGG